GAGACGGTGAGGTGAGCATCAACCGAGAAGAGCGAGAGAGCGAGAGTGAGCGTGAGGCGAAAGCGAAAGAATGTGTTTCTCGGCTTAATATGAGGCTACTTTAGGGATTTAGGATTTTTCTTTTTTTTTTTAACAAAATAAAAATTAAATAAATATATTATATATATTATTATATTACTAGTTCAGTCCGGGTGGGCGTGTAGGCGGTTCCATACCTAGAACCAGGCATCGGACCGGTACCCACCAGTTCCCAAAAATTGGAACCGGGAACCGGACCGATTTCATTAGGAATCATCGGTTCCGATCCAATCCCGAGCGGTCTGAGCGATTCTTTTGCACACCCCTAAACCTAACCATGGGTACAGCGACCCGCATAAGCAATTCCGGAGAGGGTTGGACGATAATTATATAGGTATAAGCCCACCCTAGTAGCCTTACCTTGCCTGAAGAACTGTTCGTGATACTCTTTTTTTGTGATGGGCGGGCTTGGCAATATGATAGGCAGGCCCAACAAGGTTTGGGCTCCACCAATGACCATCCATCCCTAACGACACTTTTAATGATCAAACTAACCGACATTATTGTTTTTTTAAGAAAAGGTTTGACAATCTCCAAGGCAAACTTTTGCATTACAAGCTATTCGGAATGACAAAAACAACCACAAACGCTCAAAGTTTTTTAGGATAGTTGTCTTTTTCGTGAATTTGGCTGTGCACACCTGGCATCACAGGACACTTGCTTACGAGTTAATTACACAGAACATTTTGAACCGGTACCATTTAGACACATTTTACCCTAAATTACTTTTCGACACACAGAAACCCCCAAAATTGTACGACTGCCTCAAATTCTACCATCCGTTAGCATTTCATTTAATTTCGACATCGATTGTCTTACGTGGTGACAATCGAGAACGCAACAAGTCCAACATGGATTGTTATTGCATGAGCCCTTCCAAGAAAACAACCCTTTTTTGGTTGAAAAGACAACGTTTTAAACTTACTAAGGCAAGAGCTGCACTATCATCGCATTATACATGGCTAAAATTAGACAAAACAAAGGTTTTTAAGTAGAATCGGAATGAGTCTGCTAGTCAGGCATTGCCACGTCGACCACCCTACAAAATGCCAATGGATTATAAATTTGGAATAGTGGTGCCACTATGGAAATTCCTATAGGTCGAAAAACAATTTTAAATAGATGTGTCCAAGTGATAACATATTAGGATGTCCTATATAACCAGCCCTGCGATTAGTAATTCTTCAGCCATCATATTTTGTTTGATTATGTTACATTTTGTAGGACAGATGCATACGAATAGTTAAATTCTCAATCGATTATCTTTAAATTCAAGAATATGTAGGACAGCTCCCAAATGGGAGGTACATTAAATCCAAAACAGAAGCCGTACCATTGAGCCTTCACACTAGACTAGACCCGTTATGGTGCATACATAATCAGTCGTGCCCAATTTCGGCCTTACTCAATTTTGTACGGTGATGCTATTTACAAGGAAAAAAGACGAAGATCAAAGTGAGTTTATTGGATAATACCAGTTCAATGGTATTTATTCCGAAACCTAAATCAAACTGATAACCCAAATCATCTTCGTTGTGCTTGCGCAAAAAGACCGAGTTAATTGCAAAGCAGTGCTTTTTCAAAACGGGCGCGTGGAAAATTTTATCTAGCTTGCATTGCACGTTTCTAGATAAAAGCCCAGCCACCATCCCCATCACGCCTGTCATTGTGTGGTTTGGACCGTCGTTTCGTTCACCAGAGAATTTGTCAAAAGTCCTGTTGCGGCTTCTTTTCCATTGGAAGCTTCTGTGGTCCCGGATCAAACTGTCGACACTTTCTGATTCATCAGTCGACGGAGCGATACACTTCCCACAGGCTCAACCTGCACAAATAAGTTATGTAAATTCATTTGGTTGGTACCTCCAGGCTTATACCGGTGTTGCAAAGCAACTCTCATTCTTTTGCAAGATACAAGATTATTTACGCGATTTCGCGACTCTTGAAAGTTGCCCTTTCGCGTTTAAGCCTATGCGGTAATTGTCATTCGCGTCTTGTGTTATAACTTGTGACCAATCGAGTTCCTAACTAGTAGGGAATGGATTTCATATTTGGATTCGAAATGGGTCAGGACTATAACTAGATTCGATCGGTCCGATTAGAACCTGTCTCGCCATGATCTCTATTTCGGATGATGATCAAGCATGACAGATGATAGGTTCTTAGACCCCGTGTTGACTATGAACTTTCATCACGAGATATTGTTACCGAGAATTACCATATTAGAATGGCATTAAAAAATGAATCTGTTTTAATAGTAAGAACGGAACGAGTATTCCCATTCTCATGCTCGTAATGTAATTGGTATCCAGTACAAGTGTTCTTTACGACTAAAATTTCCCTCCCTTTTTCTATGGTGTAGCTCTTGGATTTCCTTATCCGGACAATTATTTTCTAGGAATCATTATGTTAAGCATAAATTACGTGAGAGCCAATTTCTAGCACGGAAAGCTGACTCTCTCCTCTAGTCACGGCACAAATTGAACCGACGAGGGATGAAGCACAGGTGGTATAAGTACGAAGGAAGCAGCATTAGCACTAAGTGTTGAAGTCGAAACAGAGAAAATTCAACTCGTAAAAAGTTCTTGGTTGATGCATCACGCCATCCGTGCACGATCAAGAGCATCAGAAGGCTATATAACTGCCAGTCCAGTGTCTGTCTAAGCAAATGCAATCTGGCGAGGCCTGTTTGGAGCAACGGCGGAAGATAGCTCGCCGACCTCATAGCATCGAGCCTGTGCCTCGAACTTCCATCGGTTTTCTAGAACACGTTTCGCCTTTCGCTTAACGTTTACGCGATTGTCGACGACGTATTTGATCGAGTTACTAATTCAAGTTCGACATGTACATGTACAGTTTATTTTGGAGGGTCCAATCTTAACCAACAGTCAACTGGATCCTGCTGGGAGAGGATAAAGCCGGCGTCCACAGATGGACTTTCGCGAGGTAAAACATGGTACGGACTACGGAGAAAACAAGTAAATTGGATGACTATTGGATTGCGTCACGGGTGGAAACGTCAGCAACGGTTTTCAAAGCAAAGACCCGAGTGATATGTTGACTCGCATAAAGATAGGATTTTAGACTTTTTGGGGAAGTTTTCCTGGTATTTCTATCGTAGAATCTCTTGCCTGCGGGACTCATGCATGCATCAGCGATGACGACCACGAAACTTTTCCACATTGGAACGTACACTAAACAGCTGGTCGGTCAAACTTCATCATCGACGTGCTAGACAAAACCTATAACGATATCAACAATCCAAGGAAGAGATGTCTCGTAGTTTGCTTTCGTAAGAATATCCCGGACGAGAGAGGGGAGGGGGGGAAGGGAATAATGATGTTGTTTTTCCCATTCTCGTGCACCGTCTTTTGGATCAAAATGACGTTTTGGTCATGTTATTGCCATACGTGATAGAAAAAGTAATAAAAAACAGTCACGTTGGCATTTTCCGTTCGCCAAGTTGGGCATAGTTAACGGAAGGACTCGATTTCATAAATTTGACAAGTTTTAGGATTTGATTGCACTTTCTGTAAGTTTCGTGACAAATTTTTAGGACTTTGTTGAATTTATCCTCTTTTTTTGTACTTTTATTTTCAAGTCCATAACTTGTGTCGGCAATCACTTTGGTTAACTTTTTCGGATCACTTGGACGAGTGGAGGAAAATAGATCACTTTGATGCCAATTTGGCTAAAATCCGACATGGCATTTTTATTAATTTTGACGTCGACGTGCTTAGTCGCGTGTCGCACCGGCCAGGGAGAAAAGAAAAAAAGAAAAGAAAAGAAAAAGGAAAGAAGAAAAAAAAAGGAAAAAAAATATTTAAAATTAAAAATGCTACTGTAAAAAAATTATTTAAAATTAAAAATGCTGATTGTACAGCGATCCACGAGCCACGTCGACGTCAAAATTAATAAAAATGCCACGTCGGATTTCCGGCATGCATCAAATGATCATTTTCCTCGACTGTCAAAGTGATCCGAAAAAGTGAAGTGATTGCGCCAGTTAGCAGACTTGTGGTGTACTTTTGCCCTTTTATTTTCTTTCACTTTGCCCACTTGTTTGACTGTGGAGATATACGCATTGAGCCACTTATATTATATTCAAGCGGCAGAAGCTTCTTTCCATAATTTTGAAGCCGCATCAGATCGCATGGCTAAATGCGAGACGCAAAGAGGCAACGATTCTTCTGTTCACATTGACTATTTGGTCAGTATGCATGCATATAAAGCCCATAGGGACAGCGAGACGGTAGAAGACACGTCGAACAAAAAGGATGGAGGAGGAGAGGAAGAACGAGAGAGCACAGACCATCCACCACACCAATGGAGAAATTACAGAGAGAGAGAGAGAGAGAGAGCACAAGCTTGTCAATGGCAGCGCCAAAGAGACGGAGACGGAGGAAGAAGCTGTCACAAGTGAAGAGACCATCATCAACTACAGAGGATGGAAGGCCATGCCCTTCATTATTGGTGATCCCAAAAACATTAGTCTTCTTGTTCAGACCCATGAGAGATGTTTTTCCCTTCGTAAACTGCAATCTAATATTCTCCATGCGGACAAAACTGAAAAAATCTTCTTCAGGAAATGAGGCTTTTGAGAAACTGGGAGCGAGTGCGACCTTGGCCATCCTCTTGATCTACCGCACCACGGTGTACAACCTGAAGAGCAGCACGGCCACAAACATCATCAACATCTTCAATGGCACCGCCAACTTGTCCGCCTTGGCCGGTGCTTTCGTGTGTGACACGTACTTTGGCCGCTTCAAGACCCTTGGGTTCTGTGCAGTCGCTTCTTTTCTGGTAACTTATTTCTACTTCTTCTTGATCTCTCTCTCATGTTGTTGGATCAAAATCTCTAGGACACGCTGATACGGTAGCCAGAAACAGTTACTTATATAGTGCAGAGCAGACACACGTCAGATTTCAGTATGTTGTTCGTTAGACTGAAAGCTGGAGTTGATCAGTTTCTTTCATTGCGAACCTTCTCCAAGTCGTCTCTCGTTTTCTCCGATCTTGGTTAGGGTTCTTGCTCCATTTGTTCTAGTCTATGTGCTGATTTGTTGATATTGAACCTCTATTGTGTGACTAGAGAAGAGCCTCCGTATATCTTACTATTCTTGGTCATTAGTTGAAGTTTTTTAGTCGATTCGTAATTTTCCCGTGTTGGGTTTTTCACGTAAAATTTGGTGCTGCTGTTGCCTTTGTCTCTTTATTTACTCATTCTGAGGTAGTATTGTTGGAATAAATTGCTGGTGGTTGCTGGGTTAAGTTGATTTTGGTCGATTTAGTTTTGGGGAAAAAATTGATCCTCGATTGGATTAATTCCCCGTTCTCCCCGACAGTTTCTGATCTGATTCACTCTCAATAGGCAGCTGCAACTAGTACTACTATATGGTTCGTGGTACTAAATTTAGGGTTTTTTTTTAAGCAAGTTGATGTCCGAATGCAGCTGATTTACTGCCTTGTTCAATTAGGGCTTGCTAGTGATACAACTAACAGCAGCAATCGAGAATCTTCATCCGCCGTACTGTGGCGACAGCACCACATGCCGCGGACCAACAGCCGGCCAGAAGGCCTTCCTATTTACCGGGTTTGGGCTGCTGATTTTAGGGGCAGCCGGCATCCGCCCCTGCAATTTAGCATTTGGGGCTGACCAATTCAATTCGGGGACCGAATCAGAAAAGAGAGGGACCAACAGCTTCTTCAATTGGTACTCCTTCACAATCACTTCCGCGCAGATGGTCTTGTTGGTGCTTATCGTGTACGTGCAATCGAACGTGAGCTGGGCGGTCGGGTTATTGATCCCGGCAATTCTGATGCTCACAGCATGTGCAGCCTTCTTCATGGGTTCGAAGATATACGTGAAAGTAAAAGCTCAAGGTAGTCCACTAGCGAGTGTAGCGCAGGTCATCGTCGTGGCCATAAAGAAAAGGCGACTTCCAACACCCGAGCAACCACCCTGGCTCTCTCTTCATAATTATATTACTCCAAAAACTATCAACTCCAAGCTTCCCTACACAGATCAATTCAGGTACTGAAAATGAGCCCGCATTGAACTTGTGCTGGATCTGCAATCGTGTTCATAGACGAAGTGTGATCAGCTCGTTTTTTTCATCAGGTGCCTCGACAAAGCAGCAATCGTGACAGCTGAGGACGAGAAAAGGCCGGATGCATCGCCGGCTGATCCATGGAGACTCTGCAGCTTGCAGCAAGTGGAGGAAGTGAAATGTATTATAGGAGTGATGCCAATTTGGGTAGCGGGTGTGTTCTATTACCTTGTCATCGTCCAACAACAAACCTATGCAATCTTCCAGGCCACTCAAATGGACAGACGCCTCGGGAACACCAGCTTCAAGATCCCAGCCACATTGTTCGTCGTCTTCCTGATGTTGAGCCTCACAATCTTCATACCCATCTATGACCAACTGATCGTCCCATTCCTCCGGAGGATCACGGGGAAAGAAGGTGGCATCACGCTCCTGCAGAGGATGGGCATCGGCTTGTTTTTTGGCGTGCTAACCATGCTAGTTTCTGCCATAGTGGAAGAGCGCCGAAGATCAATAGCTCTGACAAAGCCCCCTCTGGGGGATGATCCCAGACGGGGCGCGATTTCATCAATGTCAGCCTTGTGGTTAATCCTTCAGTTCACGCTCGCAGGCCTCACACAAGCATTCTCATCCATCGGCCTTGTCGAGTTTTACTACAAGCAGTGTCCTGAGAACATGAGGAGCATCACGGGTTCTCTGCACTATTGTGGCATGGCGGTCTCAAGTTACTTGAGCAGTCTACTCATATGGATTGTTGGCAAGAACACGAAAGGAGCGGAAGGCGGGAACTGGTTGCCGGAGGATCTGAATAAGGGAAGACTGGACTATTTCTATTACCTGATTGCTGGATTGGAGTTTCCGACCTTGGTATACTTTCTAGTATGTGCAAGTTGGCACAAGTATAAAGGAACAGATGATGTTAGCCTTGAAGCAGACATAGAAATGAAGCAACACGAGCAGACTTATGTTTGAATTGTAGTCTCAGAGGATCACATCATATTATCCATCTCATTGAAAATGGGCCTCTCATGCAGATTTCTGTAGCAACCTGATCTGAGATTAGCCCTGGCTATAGAATGGAAGTTATGGTCCACATACCGTGAACCTATTTATGCAGTGGCTTTGTTTTATATGCACAACCATTATGAATTTGAATTGTTTACCTATTAAGCTAATTCCTACAAGATCTTAGCTGATTTTGTATCAGTTTGATTTACGACTACTTTGCAATTAACTCGATCTTATTGCGCGTAAACTGGCGATTTAATACGCGCAAGCAAAATGAAGATAATTTGGGCTATCAGTTTGATTTTAGGTTTCGGAATAAATCCATCGAATTGGTATTATCCAATAAAATCACTTTTGACCTTAGTCTTTTTTCCCTTGTAAATAGCATACTCAGGGTTTGGATGGATTGGTTCTGACCTCCTTCTAGATCAGAGGCTCCTGTGCAAATTCAAACTGGTCTTTGTGTATCTATGCAGCCTACTATTTTTGTCCCTCACAGCGTCATCTGGAAGTTAACTCCATCTGGGAAGTCTACTATTGGGTGTGAATCGATGCGAGAAAGGAGTGAAAATAAAGCTCAAACTGCAGAGGAAAGAAAGGGAAGACGATGACTCTTGCAGTCTCTGGAACGAGGATACGGATTGATGAGGGCGTCAATGCAACTGGGGACTCGTGGTTTTTCCTTCCGTTTTTGCACTTTCCTCGAGTTGGACAAAGGAGATGAATGGTCAAAGAGAAGCCTGTCTCCGATCTCAGGAAACTTCAATGGACAAGACTAAATTGAATTTCTCCTTTTGACAACTCATCCCAAACACTAATTGAGGTTTCTGAGAGAGATAGCATAAACAAACCCTAAAATTTGGGACAAATGCGTTTCTCAATCCTACGCGAGAGAGGAACTGTCGAGCAATGGAGCTTTCAAGTGGAGCAAATGAGAGAGAGACATAGGCCAAGCAAACCGGGCTCGTTCGTGACTCCCTCTCTGTCTCAGTTGCTTCACGTTCAAAACTCCATGGTTCCATGCTCAAGAGACATCATCTTGCTAAAGCCACATTAGCGCCGTTCATATTCTGTCACTCACGTCAATGGCCACGTAGGATTTTCAACGGTGTTTTCTAACGGAATATTAACGCGAGGTAAATGTGTCACACAGGTATAAATTTGAGATCTTTAGTCTCACAAAAAAAAAATTTAGGTAAATGTGTTACAACAAACATAATTTGAGATTTTTTGTGGCTTTTTCCCTTTTCTGAAATTAGTATTTTAAATTTGGGAAAATTCCAATTTGGGGTCCAAAGTGGGGCCATTTTCTCAAAATGGGGTCCCAAGTGGACTTAGTGCCAAATTGGTACCCAAAGTCCCCAAAAAGTATCAAATAAGTGCGGTCGTGGCACGCCAAAATACCCGCGTAGGTGATCTCGCATCGTTCGTGAACAGACAGATATTTTATATTTTTTTCCTTTTTCTGTTTTTCTTTTCCTTTTCCTTTTTTTTTCCTCCTTTCCCTCGCATGGCCATTGTTGGGGCCTGCGGAGGTCGCTGGCCTCAGGCGGAGGCGACCATGGCCGGCGAGGGCGACCTAGGGCCGGGCGAGGGTCGCCCGACACGCGCCGAGGGCGACCTAGGGCTCGGGTGAGGGTCGCCCTCGCCAGCAGGGTCGCCCTCGCTTTGGGCCGGGCGGGCGAGGCGACCCTTGCTGATCCGGAGAGCATCCTCACCGGATCCGGTGAGGGTCGCCACGCCCGCCCACGCCCGCTCACCCAGCGAGGGTGGCCCTTGCCGCCCGGCCCGGGCGTGGGCGGCCCTCGCCCGCCGGGCAGGCGACGCCGCCCGCCCAGGCTAGGCGGCGTGGGCGACCCTCCAGGATCCGGCGAGGGATGCTCTTGCGTCGGATCCGGAGGCATGCTCTTGCCGGATCGGGCGACGGTTGCCCTCGCCCGCCCAGCCCAGGTGAGGGCGACCCAGGGTCGGGCGAGGGTCGCCCTCGCCGGCCAGGGCCGCCTCCGCCTGAGGCCAGCGACCTCCGCCCCGGCCCCGGCGGAGGGAAAGGAGAAAAAAAAAAGAGGAAAAGGAAAAGAAAAAGGAAAAAATAAATAAAAACACTGTCTTGTTGTTCACGGAACGTCAGATCGCCTACGTGGTATTTTGGCACGTAGGCGATCCGGACCTTATTTGACACTTTTTAGGACTTTGGGTCAATTTGGCACTAAGTCCACTTGAGACCCCATTTTGGGAAAATGGCCCCACTTTGGACCCCAAATTAAAATTTTCCCTTTAAATTTTGGTGGAGACAACAAAGAGGAAATGGGAAGAAGTAATTACTCGGGCCTTTCACTTCTCTCCAAAAGTGGAATGAAGTGGAGGGAAATGGCTTTTTGATAACATTTTTCCAGAATATTATATGTGAATTAATACGTCAATATCTGGATATTGAGAAAGTTTCGAGTGTTTCGGATAAAATTTAAATTACGCGAGCCTCAAGATTTTTAGTAAGTAAATTAAAAAAGCAAAAATCAATCAAAGACACCTTTTGTAATCGGGCAAAGAAAATAATTTGTTTTAGTCCCGGGTCCAGCTTATGACCCGAAACCGCTTGCCCCTTTCTGGACCCGATCCGACTGCGGGGTCCAGCTCGGTGGTTCGGGTAACCGCTTTCTCGGTCCGGGTCGTGTTCTAAGACTTAGAAAAGCCGTCCCCCTATTTTTTCTCCGCTGCCAGAAAAGCCGTGAGCGACGACGGCGCGTCGATGGAGGGTCGTGACCGGAGACGAGAAACGGAGGCGGAGATGCCGGAGAAGGTGAGCGACGGTGGCGCGTCGATGGAGGGTCGTGACCGGAGAAGAGAACTGGAGGCGGAGATGTCGGAGATGGCGAGCGAGGCGATCGCGGCGGTGAAGAAGGCGAAGCACGTGGACCAAGTGATTTGCGCCCTCCACTCCCTCGCCGTCCTTCTCTTCCCCGTCGATTCCTCTCTTCTCTCAGGTGTCTCAATCTCGTTCGCTTTTTGCCTACGATCTCTATATGTCTTACAACGTTGGAAAGCTCGAATAACTCTTGCTCTTCGAGACATGGGACTGCTGCTGAACTCTCGGCTTCATTTGGGTTGCTTCTGTTTAGAATGTTTTCATTTTTTGGTCTTTGGCTTCTGTGGTGTGCTGGATGACTTGAGTGATCTGATTGCGTTTTCTTGGTGACAATGCTTCTGGGTCTTCTCTCCTCTGTTGTGGGTAGCCATTCTAGAGTTAGTGAATGGAGTTATGTGGTGTTTGACTGTTTTTATGTCTTGATGTGCAGGCGTTGTGGATGAAGGATACAGAGATCAGGTGGCTGTCTGTGCTGCTTCAGTTTTTGTTAACGGGGTTTTAACTTCAATTAATGTGATATTCGCTGCTTGTGTTTTTGTGTAGATTCTCGGGACAAAGCTTCCTTCCGCAAAAGAGAGAGATGATCGGTGGCGGACGTTCTACCGAGGAGCTGCATTTCCAGCTCTGGCGAGAGTCCTATTATTCGGTAGCTTGTTGTTTTGCATATTATGATCTTTCCATTGTGTTTTATTCCTCAAAAAGTCAAAATGTAGCCATCACCTTCAAAAGGTGGCTTTAGTTGCCGCTTCTGTGTCGATCCTGCATACTATCTCATTGGAGCCATGATTCTTTTTCACATTGTTCTACCGTTTGATTAGACATGTGATTGCTGTTGAGGTTGCACTTCTTTAACTTGGTGTTAGAAGTGGCTTACTAGATGCTTGAGTTGATGAGCCCAAAATTCTTCCTTATCTTTACATGATCCCCTAAATTTATCCTTGTCAGAGACTTATCATTCATACATACCTACCAGTTTTGATTGTAACCGTTATCTGGTCAGATGTTGCCTCGGACTGGCTTGCTTGCTTTCCCTTCACTGCACAGAAGCATGTTTATGATGTTTTCTTCGTCGACGGACTTGCCACCGAGGTGGTTCGGACTCTGATTCCTCGTCTACACCAAAACAGTAGTGCTGGTCTTGATGTCAATGCCATTGTCTCAAATATCCAGAGGTGTGAGTGAAGGCCTTTTTCTCTTACTTAATAAAGTGGGAAGGATAATCATATCAACCTGTATAACTTTCTCTTTCCTAGCCATTATTATGGACATTTGAATCTGAGTAACACAATACCAACAATGCAGTTAATATAACCTTTCATTCTCTTGACAGATTAATAGTGCTTTTCTTGCTTGAAAACACCGGAGTGCTCCATATCGCTACAGAATTTGCCAGATCACAAAGGGAAGGTTCTTCTCACGAACAACTCCAGCCTGTCATATCTAGGGTGGCACAGCTTATAGCCTCCGTGCCTGACAAAGCACAGTTCAAAGCTCCGTCTTCTCTTTCAGCACAGTATCCTTGTTCTGTTATTCCCGATGTTGAGTTTGCTTGCCTATGTGGTTTCTTCTTCTTACTAATCTGAACCTTACCTAATGATTTCGCCAATATCAAATGCATGGGTTTAGTGATTTTGGATCCAGACTTCTTTGATCCTCCTTTGATGTGTTTGTTCTTTACAAGAGAGTTAAAGCATTTTCTTCAGGCAGATAATTACTCAGCTTCTCTGTGGAGTTGATGGAAGAGATTTGACGACAGATCCTGGGAGGATCGTCAACAAGAGTGAGATGGATGGTGCCTTTCATTTCACTGGGGAGACATTTGCTCGCATCTGTCGTCGGGGATTTACAGGTTGGTAACATAATCTCTGCATGTTTTGTTTTCTCATGTTTATGTGTGAAAGAGAGTTTTGTTCTTATGTAGCAGAGCTTTCACTACCAACAACAAAAACCTAAGTGATTGGGTGATGGGTCTGCAATTTGCTTATGTATAGGTGGATAGATTGTCTACAAATTTAGATGGTTTGAATTCACGTTGATGTACATTATCTTTATGGTTGTTATCAATTCCGTCTCATCATTGGAGCTTCTGTTGTAGAGCTCTTTGTTCACGGGCTTACCCATTCTGATCTGAATGTTTTGCTGGTGAAAAAGAGTTATGACTAAAGAGTAATTACCCACTTAAGTTGCATACGGAAGTGATTAGACTACTCTATTAAAAAATTCTTATATCTTTGTAACACTCTAGGTCCAAGGCTGAGCAGACACTGTCTTGAACTTTCCACAG